TTTATAGAAATCTTTATAAAATATTTATAAAATCTTTATAAAATGTATTTTAAAATCTTTACAAAATGTTACCCTGGGCTGGACACAGTGGCTCACACCTGTAATTTCCAGCACTTTGGAAGGCCCTACAAAAAAAAAAAAAAAAAAGAAAAAGAAAAAGAAAAAATTAGCTGGTCTTGGTGGCATGTGCCTATAGTCCCAGCCACCAGGAAGGTTGAGTTGGGAGGACAGCTTGAGCCGAGATTGCACCATTGCACTCCATGCTAGGCAGCAGAGCAAGACTCTCCCTGAAAATTTAAAAAGAGTCACTCTGGTCTTTTTATTTAATAAGCTATTTTTTTTTAGAGCCACATTAGGTGCATAGCAAAAGTGAGTGGAAGGTAGAGAGATTTCCCCTTCTGTCCTCTGCCTACAAAGGCATCCTACAAAGGCATCCTTCCCACCCCATCAACGTCCTATACCAGAGTGTCAAATGTTTACAATCAATGAATCTACATAAACACATCATAATCACCCGAAGTCCAGTTTACATTAAGGTTCACTCAACATGAGCAAAATGTGAAATACAGCCAAAGTGGTGGTGAGCGGGAAGTTTACGGCACTTAATGTAAACATTAAAATTAAAAAAAAAAAATTTTTAATGCTTACAATAGAAAAGAGAAAAGCTTTAAAATCAATAATCTAAGTTCCTCAGGAAACTCAAAAGCGAAATAAATGCACAAGGAATAGAAGAAAGGAAATCATAAAGAACAGAAATTAATGAAACTGAAAACAGGAAAACAGAAAGATGGATGAAAAATGATAAATAAGTAATAAAAAATAATTTAAAAAACAGTAAGAGTTGATAAACCTCTAAAAAGATTGACAAAGATAAAGAGAGAAGACACAAATCACCAGTATCAGGATGAGAAGAGATAACCACTACAACTTGCTTCAGCTCTAAAAGGATAGTCAGGGATTACTACCAACAACTTTATACTTATGGGCCAGGCATGCCCATAATCCCGGCACTCTGGGAGGCTGAGGCAGGCAGATCATTTGAGGCCGGGAGTTCAAGACCAGCCTGGCCAACATGGTGAAACCATGTGTCTACAAAAAATACAAAATACAAAAATTAGCCAGGCTTGGTGGTGCACGCCTGTAGTCTCTGCTACTCAAGAGGCTGAGGCATGAGAATTGCTTGAGTCTGGGGGGCAGGGCTTGTAGCGAGCCCAGATTGTACCATTGCACTCCAGCCTGGGCTGCAGAGTGAGTGAGACTCTGTCTCAAAAAAAAAAAAAACCAAAAAACAAAACTTTATAAACTTGACAATTCAAAAGAAATAGCATAATTTCTCAGAAAATATAAACTACCCAAACTTAATGGCTCTAGAATCATTTTTAAAATTGAATTTGAAGTATAAGTCTCTTGAAAAAGAAATTTCCAGGCCCAGATGGGTTTTACTAGAGAATTCTACCAAACATTTAGAGAAAAATTAGCCTGGGCAACCTAGAGAGACCCCATCTCTACAAAAAAAAAAAAAAAAAAAAAAAAAAAAAAATTGCCAGGTACAGTGGCACACACTGTAGTCCAAGTTACTTGGGAGGCTGAGGTGAGAAGATCACTTGAACCCAGGAGTTTGAGGCTGAAGTGAGAGTTGTGATTGTGCCACTGTACTTCCAGCCTGGGTGACAGAGAGAGACCCTCTCTCAAAAAATAAAAAAAGAATCAACAGCCATTTTACACAATGTCTTCCAGAAAATGGACCAATTCATTTTATGAGGCAGATATTACCCTGATACCAAGTTTAAACAAAGACAGTACAAAAAAAGAAAATTACAGACCAATATCTCTTATGAAACTAGATGCAAAAATTCTCAACAAATGCACAAGACATTTGGACAAGGTATTAAAATGCTTCAGTATTTTAATGACTAAGTATTTCAGTTTATACCTAAACCTTAGAACTGGACAAGCAAGATCCCTAAGAGGAAAAATATGATTCAACAGACCTCATCGAAACTAAAAACTTTTGCTCTACAAAATACCCTGTTAAGAGGATGGAAAGATAATCTACAGGCTGGGAAACAATATTTGCAAACCTCGTACCTTGCAAAGGACTAATATCTGGAGCATTCAAAGAACTGTTAAAACTCAGCACTTTAAAACCAAACAGTCCAATTAGAAAATGGGCACATGTTATGAACAGTCATTTCACCAAATACAGATGGTAAGTGCACGAAAAGTTGTTCAACATTATTAGCCTTCAGGAAAATGTAATTTAAAGATGGAATGAATATCAACATGGCTAAAATAAAAAAATAGTGACAACACCAAATGCTGGTGAAAATATGGAGAAACTAAAACACTAGTATATTACTGGAAGGAATGCAAAATGGTACAGCTACTCGGGAAAACAGTTTGGTAGTTTTTAATCTAAACATGACTACTGTGTGAACAGCAACTGCTCTCCTAGGCATTTATACTAGAGATATGAAAATTTAGGCTGGCACAGTGGTGCATACCTGTAATCCTAGCACTTTGGGATGCCAAGGTTGGGTGGATTGTTTGAGCTCAGGAGTTCAAGACCAGCCTGGACAACATGGCTAAACATCATTTCTTTAAAAAAAAAAAAAAATTGGCATGGTGGTGCATACCTGTAGTCTCAGCTACTTGGGAGGCTGAAGTAGGAGGATCACTTGAGCCTGGGAAGTTGAGGCTGCACTGAGCCAAGATGGTGCCACTGCACTCCAGCCTGGACAACAGACTGAGACTCTGTCTCAAAAAGAAAAAGAAAATGTATATCATACAAAAACCTGTACATAAATGTTCACACAGCTGATTTGTTTGTAATAGCCAAAATCTAGAAACAACCCAGAGGTCCTTTAACAGGTTAAACTATGATACATCTATATCAAGGGTGCTACTCAGCAATGAAAAGGAAGAAATGATTGCAATGACGCAATTTGGATGAATCCCTAGGAATTATGCAAGGCTAAAAAAGCCGGTCCCAAAAGGTTATGATTCCATTTATATAGCATTCTTCAAATGTCACAACTATAGAAATGAAGGACAGATTAGGAACAGATTAATTCTGTTGAGGGAGTGTATGTCTATGAAAGAGCATCAGAAAGGATTCTTGTGATGGTTATAGAAATGTTCTGTATCTTGACTATTTCAATGTCAATATCCTGAGTATGATATTGTACTATAATTTTACAAGATGTTACCTTTGGAGGAAACACAGTAAAGGCTAAATAAGCTCTATTATTTCTTACATGTGGATCTAAAATGAGCTCAAAGTTGAGTTTTTTAAAGGGGCGAATCACTTTGGAAAATGGTTTGGTAGTTTCTGATGACTTTAAAAATAGACCTGTCCTATAACCTAGAAATTCTATTATTACTACTATGTAGTATCTAGGAATAATGAATGCATTTGTCCAAGATTTATACAAGAATGTTCATAGCAGCTTTATTCATAATAGATTAACTTTGGAAGTAATCCATATGTGGGAGAATGGATCAACAAATTGTGATACATTCACACATTTTGCTGTGTAGCCTGTCCCTCCTTTCTTACAGGCAGGCAGGGAGGAAGGAAGTACACAGCAAAACATAGATGAATCTCATGGACATTATGTAGAGCAGTAGGAACCAGACATAAAATTACACATGGTGTATGATTACATTCACATGAAATCCAAGAACAGGCAAAACTCATGAATGGTTATAGGGATAGAATAGTGGTCATGATGCAGGGTGGTGGGATGGTATCAGCTGGGAAAGAACTTCAGGGAACTTTCTGGGGTGAAGGAAATGTGGTTATATAGGTATGTATACTCATATGATAAAAGTTATCGAGCTCTACATTTAAGGTTTGTGCATTTTACTGTATGTTAATTATAATGGACAAAAATTATCCCTAGTTGCTAGAAAAAAAAAGACAAACCAACTAATCCCACTCTATAGACTTGGTTTGGATCCGTTTTCAAACAAGCTGTAGAAAAACCTGTTTATGACATTTAGGAGAAGTTGGAAATATGAACAGTTTATGATAAGTAATGACATTAGGAGCTGTAAAGTTTATCAGTTCGATGCAGTTACTTATCAGTTAGAGATTGCTATCATCTGAATACTTGTTTCCCTCCAAAATTCTTAGTTGAAATCCTACCCCCAAAACTGATGGTATTAGGAGGCGGATCTTTGGAAGCTGATTAGGTCATAAGGGCAGAGCCCTCATGAATATGATTAGTGCCCTGATTAAAGAGGCCAAGAGAACTCCTTGGTCACCTGTCATGAGAGGTTATAGTGAAAAAATGACTGTCTAGGAGGTGCGTCCTCGCCAGATATCAAATCTGCCGACACCTTGATCTTGGACTTGTTAACCTCCAAAACTGTAAGAAATAAATTTCTGTTGTTTATAAACCACTCAGTTGATGGTATTTTGTTATAGCAACAGCATGGATAAAGCAGAGACACATAGTGAATTAAGGGATTATTCTAGGATTTGCTTAAAAGTGAAACGGGTTGCAACTGATCACACATGAGGCATGGTAGGGATATAAATAAAACAGTATTAGCCATGATTTGATTATTATTTAACCTACATGATTGGATTGATTATCCATTGTGTCTACTTTTTATTTGATAAAAAGTTTAAAATTTAAAATTTGAATAAAAGATACATACAAGTGGCTTTATTATTACCAATGAGACAAAATAATTGGCCACTGAGATAGTTTGTTTTAAGGATGCTAAAGGGTGGTAGGTAAAGGTAATCCCCTAAACAAAACCCTTGCTATCTATACAGGGTGTCTTCAGCATGTTGTGGTGATTCCCAAGGGCAGAAAACGTCCCTACACCCAGTAGACAGCCAAGTGATGTATGTTTCAGTTAATTAAATCAGAAATGTGTTTATGGTGATGTTAGCACTTTTAGATACTTTGTAGCTCCATACACTGTTCATCCAGGATATTGATTTTTTTTTTTCCCAATTCTCATGTTCTTGTGTTTTCTGTCAGGACCTGATGCTGTTTTCTGATGATGAGCCAAAGCAGCTTTTACCAGCAGCACCTCCTTCCATTGTCTCTCCAGTCACGTGCTTGTCAGAAACAGCAGAAGTTTGTACCCTTTTGGGTGCAGGTAAATTGGTTAAGGAATAGGAAGTTTACTTATCAGATTTTATTTCATGAACTACAGCAACAGTTGGCTTCTGTTTAACTTTATTAATGAGGGACAGGACTAGCATGGGTAAATTCAACCAACAACATGGTCCTATAACCTTGTTTTACCATTTGTTTCAGTGTTTTCTCTCTTTCTGTTTTACTTTTTTCTTTTTCACTGTTTAAAAAATTGACCACGAGCCTTAAATCTTTTACAAGTAGCTTTAAAAAGCAGAAAATTAATTTTACTTCAATTTTTATAAAGAATTTAAATTATAACCTCTTTTAAAAGCAGGCACTAAATGAAAACATGAAGAGCCGAGCTGCACAGTAGCCACGAATTGGTTCATCATCTCTTGAATAATTAACATTAGAGAAAGGCACAGTATAAAATTATACAAAACTAGCTTCCAATAAATGACACGATTGAGTTCCAACTGGGCTCTGCAGCTACTCTGGATCCTTGAGGATCTGATTGACTCACTGTTGAGTCACGGCATCCTGTCTCAATTCTCCATGAACTCTCAATTTTCAATCCATTCTTCTTGATTTTCCCAGAAAGTAGAATGGAAGATCTTCCGCCAACATGAGAATGAAACATTCTCATTTGTATCTTTCATCACCTTATACATCTTAGGTTTGATGTTCATCCAGGCATCTTTTCCCTTATCACAGAGGTGGCTTCTTATGTTTTGAGTTATATCCTCTCACTCTTCTTGGACCATGCATCTCAAATTTCTCCTTATATAGATCTATAATATCCAATATTATAAGTGCAATAGTTTATTAGTGTAGGTTTCTTTTCCAAATTCATGTTTATAGAGTTTTCTTGCAAAGCCAGTTGTGAGAACAATGAGGATATTTTAATAAACACAAAAACAAGAAATTGGGGATTACAGTGATATTTATATAAGGATGGTATTAGTCACATGGATAATTAGTTACAAGTGGTTATTTTTGGACAGCTTGCTTTGTATTCTTAAACAGATTTAGATCCAGAAGCTTGAGAGAAGAGCATTAAGGAAAATGTTTCTATATTCTGACACACCCTAACATTTTTTTCTCCTAAAATTTTAAAAATAGACTTCCTTTTTTAGAGCAGTTTTAGGTCCATAGCAAATCTGAGCAGAAAGTAAAGAATTCCTATGTACCCCCCATTCCTCACCAGAGTGGTGCATTTGTTACAATCAATGCACTTCCATTGCCATATAATCATCAGAAGTCCATGGTTTACACTGGGGTTCACTTTTGGTGTTACACATTCTGTGGGTTTGGGTAAATGTAAAATGATGTGTATCTACCATGATAGTATCAGAAATAGTAGTTTCACTACTGTAAAAATCCTCTGTGCTCTGTCTGTTCATCCTTCCTTCCCTCCCACTAACTCCTAACAACCAGTGATCTTTTTACTGTCTCCATAGTTTTTCCTTTTCCAGAACACCATGTAGTTGGAATCAGATGGTATGTATGTTTTTTTTTTTTAACTCGGTAATTAACATTCAGGGTTCCTCCATGTCTTTTCATGGCTTGATAGCTCTTTTCTTTTTAGTGCTGAATAGAATGTGACACAGTTTATTTATCCATTCACCTTCTAAAGGTTATCTTGGTTGCAGTTTTGGCAATTACGAATAAAGCTTAACATCTGTGGCAGGTTTTTGTGTGGACAAAAGTTTTCCTTCCTGATACTTAAGTGAAATTGAGTATAAATTAGCATAAGAAGCAATCCTCAGGAGGAAAAAGTCAAAAACATGTAGCTGGGTGGGAAGATGAGGTGATCCCACCATTTTACTTGGCTGGGACCCATCTTAATCAGAGGGGTGTTTTCTATTTGTAAGTCGTTCATTTCTGCAGTCTTTCCTTTACAGGAGTCTCAGAGATGTCTTGCTAAAATGTAGATCTTAGCATTTCACTTCCCAGCTTAAACACTTTCAACAGTTCTCCACTGGCAATAGGATAAGTCTAATTTTTAAAATAGTACCAGGCAAGTACTTTTCGTAGTCTGGTCTCAGCCAGACCATGAACTTCATCACTGAAAATGCCAGGACTCGCAGTGCCCTGTGACATTCTATTACTTGTATACTTTCTTCTCTCTAGAATATCTTTGTTCCAGTTCCTTTGACTGTGTAACACATTGCCCTGAAACTCTGTGGCACAATCATTTATTCTGCTCAAGGATTCTCTGGGTCAGGAATTAGGATAGAGCACAGTGGGAATGGTTTGTCTGTTCCATGATGCATATCTAGCCTTAGCCAGGGAACACAAAGGCCGGGGCAGGAATCATCTAAAGTCTTGCTCAATCACGTGTCTAGCAGTTGATACTGGCTGTCGGCTGGGGGCCTCAGTTCCTCTCCACGTAAGCCTCTTCATGTGATCTTTCCATGTAGGCTAGTTTGGGCTTCCTGACAGCATGGTGGCTGTGTTTCAAGGATGAGTATTTTGTGAAAGAAAAGACCAGACATAAGTTGAATAATCTCAGAAGTCATGCTGTAATACTTCTAACTCATTCTGTTCATCAAGGCAATCACAAAGTCCTGCCCAAGTTTAAGGGGATGGGGACATCAATCCCCCCCTCAACCTCTCCATGGATGAGTGTCAATGTCACATTGAAAGGAAAGCATATTGCATGAGACATATGTTGGCATAGTCATCTTTGGAAGATATAATCTGCCACAATCTTCCATCAAGTTATAAATTCTTGACAAAATCCTTTTTGAATAGCCAGGCCCAGTGAAAATGTGCAGTAGTGACTGCTATAAAATTTTTCTGCGTGCCAAACTAGTTTCTCCTTTCACTATGTACCCAGAGGACTTTGCCCAGGCCCCCATTATACAGTTTATACTTTCTGTATCATAATTATTTTATAAACATTTATTTTAAAATTATATAAGTGAATATACTCTTAATTTTAAAAAATTCAAATATAGATAAAGTCAAAATCTCCCTTGACTGTCCCTTACCCCAAGACAGTCCCCTCCCCAGAGTGAACTATTACCAGTTTGGTGGTTACCTCCCATACCTTTCCCTGTGTATTATATACATACATGTACCTTTAGAAATATATAGAATTGACTTTGTTTTAAAACACTATTCTGCATTTTTCTAAAGCTTTCCTTAAGAATATCTCTTGACTATCCTTCAGTATATGTCAAGACGTAGAGATTTGCTGTATTTTTTGAAACTCCTGCAATGCCTGGCTATTATAGATTATTTCCCTGCTGATGACATTTTGATGTTTTATACTTTTCACTGTTACAAATAATGCTTTGATGAATAACCTTGTGCACATATGTGAGTGTTTCTTTAAGGTATGTTCCTAGAAATGGATTCCCTGAATCATAATTTGTGCCCATTTTAATCGTAATTCATAACAGCCAAACAGCCCTTCATAATATCAATATCCATTCACACCCTGGATGGCAGTGTATGAGACCGCCATTCACTCACACCCTCACCAACACTTGATGCTTTCAAGCCTTACGTTTTTATCACTTAGGTTAAAAGTTGCATTACATAGTAGGCATAATTTGCATATATCCACATATTGATATTTCTATTTCCTCTTTTATGGATTGCCTTTTTAACTTTTTTTATTTAAATTGATTTTATAGCTCTCTCGCTCTCTCTCTCTATATCTATATATATCTGATTCTTTCTCTGCCATTTATGTCACAATTATCTTTCAGCCTGTTAACTGTCTTTCAACTTTCTTAATGATGTCTTTGTAGGAGTTTTATGTTTTATTTAGTCATATTTATTCCTCTTTATCTTCATAACTTTTGGTTTTTGTGTTTTTAAGGTTGCTTTTCTTATACTAAGTTTATAGAAGATATTCACCCATATTTTATTTTAATTGTTCTGTAATCCATGTGCATTTAAAATTTTGCAAATGGTTTTAGATAAGGGCAATGGGCAGTCAGTTGTCTCAACATTCACTGACCAGTCCATTTTTCTCCGACGTTTTGAAATGACTCTTTAACCTGCACTAAATAGTATCTGTTTAACAACTGTATTCTATTCCATTGCTTCACTTTTCTTGTTCTGGTCTGCTTAATTTTTTGCAACAACTATAATAGTATACCACAGTGTTAATGTATAGTATTTTATTTAACCAATATTACCATAAAGTTCATTTAGGTTATTTCTGTATTTTTGCTATTGTAAACAATGATAAAATGGCATTACTTTCCCCTCCCAAATAAAATAGGCTTTATTTATATTTTTCTGCGATTTGACACAGATTCTAAAATACATTATTCTGTCTTTCTCTTGGTAAATTCTGTCCAGTTCACTAACTTATCCTGTCAACAGATGGTTCTAATTTCCATGTTATGATTTTGGCAACTTCAGTTCAAGACAAAAATAAAGTAGGAAAGTTATTGTGGTGCAGAATCCTCAGTTCTTTTCCTTTTCTCCCTTGCCTTTGCCCTCCAGAGGCACACGGCAATCTGCTGTTCACGGTCTGGCCTGCAGCAGAGAGGAGGTCTTTACTCCCTCTCACCCCCACCACACTTGGGCCGTGTCTCACTGATTTACCCCTTTCCTCACCTCCAGAAGAACCTCTCTTCACTCATTCTTTTTCTTTATAGTTTTACTACATGTTTATAGCCTAAACAATATATATTTAATTTCACAGGCTCTTGAACTTTGTATAAGTGGAGTCGTTAGGAATTTATTTTTCTGGGACTTTTATCACTCAATATTATTTCTTAAGATTCACCTATTTATTTTCACTGCTGTATAGTATCTCATTGTATATATAATTATAATGCATTTATTATACTGTAAAATGCTATCATCATTATGTGTCAAGTTTTGTATTGTAAACAATGCTATTTACTCATTTGTATATTTGCACAAGATTCCTGCTTCTCATGGACAGGAGTTTCTCTAGGGCATATATTTGGAAGTGAAATTGCCATATGGTTAGATATGAACATCTTCAAATTTACTAGGTAATGCCAGATTGTTTTCCAGAGTTAC